ACAAACAAACAAACATCCACATAGAGACATCAGCAATGGAAGTATTGCCCATTTTTTACAGTGGAAGAAATGAAATGTGTTTGGAGGACTTTGGCGAAGGCTTCAACGAAGCTAAAACAGAGACATGTTATACATTGATAGCAAAGTGATAACTAGCTAGCATGAACCAAAATTAGCTATACACTACAATTCTTATCACAAAGAGCACAAAACATGAAAAATAGCCAATCTTGATTTAGACCATGTTGTGCAGTCATACTTATGAGCTCCATGTCATCAGAAAGATTTGGGTTTCTGCTGTATATTTAAAAAAATTAACTAGGCAGAGCAACAACAGCATCGACAGGAGCAGCAGAATCCCACAGACCAGATCCTTCCACAAGTTTCTGAAACAGATCAGCCTCTAAACATGTAGCAGTGCATTTTCAGAGCTAAAGTTTTTGTCTATACATCATTACTAATCTGGTTTTAGTCAGTTAGCTCAATATTGGCCATCAACAATTAGCTATAATCTGAAGAAATTAGCAAGTGGCGCATAAGAGCTAATGAGGCAGACACCAAATGGTCATCAGAGCAAACAGGCAAGGAGGTTTAAGAGCAAAACAGACACATTCAAACTGTGCTGATTTATCAGGTATTATATCATAATACCAGATATAATTTATATATTTTCCCTGCTAGCCAAACTAGGAAGTTAGTTGATACCTGCTCATGTCTACATATGATCACTTCTGTACCTAAATAAAAAGTTAAGCATTAGCAAAATGCAAAAAATCAAGGATTAACTAAAGTACAGCGCACAGCACATTATACGTCCGTTGACAAACTATTATACAGAAATCCATAACAAAGATCTCAGATAGAGTTTGACCTTGATTTGTGTCTTTGACCTTGAAGCTAGGGTGATGAAAACATTACGCAGCACGTTGTGTAGTGGTGATACAAATTCATATCCAGTTTAATTATAATATCTTCAGCAGGTCAGAAGTTATGGCCCAGAAAAATGTTTACAGATGGACAGACAGATGGATAAAGACTGTATCATAATACATGCATCTTTCGACAACGTATAATAATAAAAATTATAGACCACAAACAATTGAGTAAATTTTCTGGGAAAATGTGTGTTTTAAAGTAAACAGATTTGGTGCTTAATTAACCAAAATACTAGCAAAACTGTAATCCTCAAGGTAAAATGGCTGTACTTAAAAATTATTTTGACCTAAACTCAATTCAGTTTATTCATATTTCTACATTTTACAACAAAAAATATTTGAAGAAGCTATAATGAAGAAGTAAACAATCTAAACTCAAAACCAATACATATACAATCCATCCATCAATCCATCCATTATCTTCCGCTTATTCCGAAGTCATGTCGCGGGGGCAGCAGCTTGAACAGGGAGACCCAGACATCTTTCCACAGCCACCTCTTCCAGCTCTTCTGAGAGGACTCCAAGGCGTTCCAAGGCCAACCAAGAGACATAGTCTCTCCAACATGTCCTGGGTCTTCCCGGGGTCTCCTCCCAGTTGGACATGCCCGAACCTCCTCAACTGGCTCCTGTCTACATGGAGGAGCAGTGGTTCTACTCCGAGTCTCTCCCTGATAACTGAACTTCTCACTCTATCTCCAAGGGAGAGTCCAGCTACCCTGCAGAGGAAACTCATTTCAACCGCCTGTATCTGTGACCTCATTCTTTTGGTCACTACCCAGAACTCGTGACCATAGGTGAGGGTAGGAACGTAGAACGACCGGTAAACAGAGAGCTTTGCCTTACAGATCAGCTCTCTCTTCACCACAATGGACTGGTACAAAGTCTGCAATACTGCAGATGCTGCACCAATCCATCTGTCAATCTCACGCTCCATTCTTTCCTCACTCGTGAACAAAACCCTGACATATTTGAACTCCTCCACTTGAGGCAGAACCTCACCCTCGACCTGAAGAGAGCAAATCCACCCTTTTCCGGTTGAGGACCATGGCCTCAGATTTGGAGGTGCTGATTCTCATCCCAGCCGCTTCACACTCTGCTGCGAACCGCTCCGGTGAGAGCTGAAGATCACGGCACGATGACGCCAACAGGACCACATCATCAGCAAAGAGCAGAGATGGAATCCTGAGGCCACCGAACCGAAAACCCTCCACCAGCTGGCTGCACCAAGAAATTTTGGCCATAAAAGTCATGAACATACATTCATTCATACATACACACAATCCAGTTCATTATTACAGTGCAGTGCAAATTCAAAAACACTGCAACCCATTTTGATTACACTTCAACGTTCCTATTAGCAGGATATTAGACTCTCAGCTAGCTTTAGGAATAAAATACAACAAAAATGTGAATTAATTCCAGTCAAGTCTCAGTTTAGCCTAAGGGACAATGTCAGACAGTTTGAAGGATATAAAGAAGCAGCTATGACTTTTATTCTAACAAAACCTTGGACAACTGTCAATCAAAGCTCGACAGGTCATTATAAACCAGTTGTCTGGACTTGTCCCGCCACCGGCATCAAACGCAGCCAGGCGTTTCCTCTGGACAGCTCTTATCCTCAAGGTTAGACATCTAGTCGGTGCAGCTCTTTCTCATTCATTCATTCTTTTAGTCCCGTTTTCATCCTGCCCTTCTCAGTTCTCCACATCTCTCTTGTGCGATGATTTAATACCAGCAGTCAGTTTCTCCTCGCTGTCTCTCTCTTCACCTCTTTTCCTCTCTTCCGCTCTCCGCCCGATGCAGCCAGAACGTAGTTTGGATGTAAACAGCCGCTGCAGGCCATGCATAGTGATCTCATTATGTAGAACTGCAGGGGAAACTGTCCTACCCAATTTAACAAATATCCTTCCTTACTGCTCCCCCCTTCCTGTTTTCCAGCTACATCAGGGTCAAGCAAGCAATTAAGGGGGCAATTGTCTAAACAGGATGCCAGTTGAATTGAAAGTAACAAAACTGACGCAGCGGGCCTGCACGACTTCCAATTAAGCTTTAAATAATAGCATGGACACCCTGTAATTGCTTCACACTGGCAAACCTCTCATGTGTGACCAAAACTATTTACCCATAACGTATCAATAATTAATATGAGTAGTAGAAGGGAAATGTGAATTTTCTTACATTACTAGAATTTTTTTTGTTTTTCGTTTTTTTTTATTTTATTTTCAAGTTTGCGTGAACACAGTTAAAATTAAAATATTGCAAGATGGAAACTGTGAAACAACTCATGATAAATCACTTATGGAGAATATAAACATAATTGTCTTTTTCTGTAGTGCGGTAGTTATCAAAACTTGCATATACTTTTTTTTTCTGAACATGCATAACGAAAAAGGAATAACGGCCACGAAGATTACCGTTTCAGCAACAGTTCACACCGAACCAGTTTCATTTCATGTTTATGAATAGAAACTGCAGAGCCAGATTTATAGTGAGCAGAGTGGTATCAGCTTTTCATTATCCAAGTTTCTGGTATTAATTGCAGGATCAGTTTGATCCCTATCAAATCCTGCTGCTATCATAGATGGAGATTGCAATAATTTTCTTTTATGACTGCTTGTGAATCACTAAACATAACTGTTAAACATGAAAAAAGTTCAATATTACGTAGTTGTTAGATAATGTGAAATATGTTGTATAAAAACAACTACCGTTATTGCTTTAAGTTGGAGAACACTAATGCCTGATGGAAAGCACAAAATACAGTGAGGTGTACTTTGAATCACTGCTTAGCTCATTGCTGCTAATATCGTTAGCTTTGGGCTACTCATTTGATCTAATTAACTTAGCTTTGCAGCATTTCATTATTTCCTTACTGCACCTCACTATTTCAGGTGTTCATTACTCACTAGACTTTAGGAGGCAGTGAGCATTTTGGACTGAAAAGACATCTAAAACTGTTCCTACAGTCAGACTAAAAATGGTCTAAACGTGAAACGGTTGCAGATGACTAAACAGACTTCAGCTAGTCCTCTGCATTCAGATAAAAACTGTCAAATTCAAAACTTCGGTTTGTTTTAGAGCTTTTTGCATCCTACTGAGCTAACCGGCAACACCGATTTCATTCACTCAACTGCATTTTCTCGCCCTGCTGTGTTTCACTCCGAGTCAGGCCTGATCACATACTGATTGGCTAAAGTACGGCTGTCAATAACTTTGAGCTGGATGACAACTCCCTCCCATATCAAGTTGTAAGTATTTTGTTATTTAATATTTTTTGGACCAGATGGGATAAACTTGTGGGTCAAACGTGGCCCAGGAGCCACCAGTTGACACCGTTTTCAAAATTAATGGACAACCCAACCGTTATATTTGCTGAGCTGCCGCCACCTCGATGCCGTCTTAGCTTTGACCTAATTAAGATGCTCGGCTTAAGATCCTATTCATTAAACGCCAGAACAGCAGAATGCATTTCATAAACAGTGGTGAACAGTGAGCTATCAAACTAGAAACTGAAAATTAAAACCAACTAAAGGTCAAAATAATCTGAAATACCTGGGAACATCAAGATTAAATAAAAGCATATTTAATTATTGTATTGAAACCTACAGATTTATAAATGGTGACCTTTTTGTTGGATCATGGAGCTCCACTCCAAACAGCAGAGGAAGGTTCAGATCACTGGGATCTCTACATCAATTTCTGTTTGTACGTTCATGTTTCGTCTCCTGACATTTTGTCCTAAAGTCCTTGCCCCGTGCACGTTAAACTGTGGAGAAGTCAAGGCCAACAGGCTGTTGATAAAATGAGCCCTTGCAGTTGAGTCATAATTTTAAAGGCACGCCAGCTGAATATGATATACTGCACAGTTGCATCATCTGTCCTTTGTTTGTCACGGTGTGCTACGATTTCCTTCAGATGAGTCAAACAGATTTTTGACAACTAAAAGATCAGTTTTCAGGGACAGATGTGAAAAGAGGCAATGTGGCAGAATAAAGAGAAACTAGAACACCGTCCTTTCTATGAAAACATCCATTCAGCCATTATTTTTACAGTTTTTCTTCTTACCGGATGTTGTGGGACTTGCGTTTGATCTCGTTCCAGCAGAGGTTCATGTCTCCGGTTAGGTGCGGACTGCCTCCTCTTAGTCTCCAGCACTCGGTCCCCTCCTTCTGCCCCTCACCGTCCACCGTGGACTGGCACGGCACACAGCGGCATCCCGGCCACGAGGGCCGCCCCGCAGCTGAAACGCACAGAGAACACAAAAGAGGCGAGTGTTACAGCACGGACCTTTTATATCAGCTCTTCAGAATATTAATATTAGGCGCAGATGAGGAGGAGATTTAAAATGTGTGGATACTGTCAACAACAAAAAGAGAAACTGAGAACAAAACACGACAAACCATTCCCTCACTCTCGTTTGTGACTTCTTGCACATTGGACCATTGTAGTGCTGAGTGTTGAGACGCAGTGGCTATTTTAGCCTCTTTTTGGGGGTGTTCAAGCACCCCTAAATTTTAACTCAGCACCCCTGAAAAATAGAGTCAATTTTTTTTTTTTATTTATTTTGAATGGTTCTGGGTTTTGTTTATTGCATTTATGATTCAATGCAACAGAACAAACAAATTTCAAAGGTAACAGATCATTGTAATACTTGGTTTATCTACATAATGACATTAATCGGTGGATGTCCGGCTCCTGAGCTGCTGCTTTCAGTAACTGTGCCTCCCCTGAGCAGTTTAGTTGAACAGCCCTGTTTTAGAGGGTGAAAACAGGTTATTCCATTTCCAAAACCTAAACTAAGTCTGGAAAAATGTTTAAAAAAAAATGGATGAATCCCTGCGACCGACCTCATGAGCAGCTGAATACAACAGTGATAAACAGGAAGTACCACATGTTCATCTGCATGAAGGTAACTGCAGGTAAATCCTCCATTTTCTGTCATAATAATATTGTATGCTTAATGGTTAAATTCAAAGTTAATGTTTAAAGCTAGTTGTTTTGTGTGTATTGTGTTTTGTATGTTGTAACTTCTGGTTGCACAAGTTTAGTCTTTGTTATGATCGGTTAACACTAAACTGATTTTATACAAAGCATTTATTTGGTTGTGTAGTGTAAAGAGAAGCACTACATCTGTAGCATTTTAGCTAGCGCATCTGTATTGCACGCCGCTAGCTTAGCGTTACTTCTTGTGTGCCGAGCTCTCTAAAATAGTTTGTTGAATCAAGTGTTTACTTATGTAGGCAAACGTAAATATTTAACAACCCGTTAAAATACACTAGAATGCAGGAAGTGACATCTACTTTGTTCAAAATTTTCTGGGGGAGGACCCCCAGACCCCCCACACCAGGGCCCCCCACTCCACATTATGAATGCTTCTGGCACCAATGGCCACCATTTTGTTCAAGCCAAGAGCCAGTGTCAGTACTGGGGGCTAGGCACCCCTGAAGGGCAGATTCTAGAATCGCCCCTGCTCAGACAAGAAAGACTCCAGAATCTCTGTATACAGAGATGAGACAAAATGTTGCATACTGCCAAGCAAAAACTCGGCCTCCTTTTTCACTCTAATTAACTAAATGCATATCACCCGCTGCCTTTAATGCCACAATGTTAGACTAATATCTTCTCATCATGAGAAATGATAAAGTTGGAGCAGTTTTGGTCAAACCTTGAAAACATTTGACTTTACAAGAAGTCACGCTAAGAATATATGTTGTGAATAACTCTCAGCTACTACCACATCAGAACCGTAGCTCAATATTTGTGCATTTTACTTGAAATTATAGCTATGGCCATGTTGAATTGAATTGGCCGCAAAATCTAATCAGCTGTAGATGCCCATTCAGTGATTAGTTTCCGAGAGATTCATTAAAATCTCTCCATTTAGTCATGAGATATTTTGCTAACAGAGAAACAGGGTTGACTCCAGCAGGTAATGCCAAAGTTTTAAAAAATGATTTATGCAATGAGGACTCTTGGACTATAGGGTGGGACTGTCGCTCAACAGATATTAGCAAAATATCGGAAAAAATGGTTGAACTGCTGTCGTTTTGTTCCGATTCCAGATAATTAATGGCAAAATTTCAAACACTGGTCCTGCATAATCTAGAAGAGCTCAGTATGTTTTGAGGATCAGTCTCAGCCAATGAAACGCCAAATTTTAGGAAAGCGTCTGCAAAATTGCTTGTTATAGACATACTTAGGTTTCTTTAAGACCGTTGGCAGCGACGCACAAACTCCCACACAGGCAAAAACCTTACCATCTGCCTAATAAGGCTCACACCAGAAAGGTCAGAGAATATTCAACCAGTGAAAAAAAAAAAATTATAAAGTGTGAAACACATACACACAAATGTGCTCAACAAATCTGACCAAGTTTTATAACTCTGTCCTGTGTGTAAGAAAGGAAACCTGAGACATGAGCGGTTTTATCCCGTTATTCCGTTCCATTAAACTCGGCGAAACAAACACAGACAAAGAGCTTCTTTTATTGCAGATTTTTAGAGTGTGAGGGCATGTAAGGCAGCACGAGGAAGTGCAATCCCCTTGATGGACCTCGGAGCAAAAATATCAAGCAGGAAGCTGACACACGAACACACAAGCACTCCAAGATGTGGCAAATGAGAGGAGCTTTTTGCAGTTTCTCAGATCCTGATAAAAACAGGTGTTTCATCATCTGATGTTTACCATCAGCTGGGCCTCCTGGTATATATGTTCAACCATATATGACAAACATACACACCCATCACGACCAGCAGACTCTCAAGTTTAATCAGGTTTGAAGCTTTTATACAAAATAGTTTATTCAACCCTGCGGCAGAGCTCAGCCTTTAACCCCGACAGCAGCAGACATCGATCCACTGCAACATACTTGGAATATATTCAATACTCACTCAGATATGCAGTTACCGAGACAACATTTTATTAAACTCTAAAAGGTCATGGTTTATTTTTACTTTTCTCAACAGAGTCCGTAACTGGTGAAACAACTTGGGTGCGGAAATTTGAAAATGGGTTTGGTCCGGTTGTGGCCCAAAGAAGGTCTAATATTATGGAAGTGTTGCAATGTTTATGCAGCTGGTTAGTTCAGGAGAAGCATTTGACCTGGAGATATCTGAACTTTGACCCCCATGAGGCCAATCTGAGCTAAATTGATTTAAAAAAAAAAAAATAGGTGTCAAAAAGATTTCAGTTTTTGCTTTTGTTATTGTCGCGCCTAATTGTTTCAGTTTCAATTTTCAAATGAAGGTTTAATTCATTATGAGAATAAAGTGATCAAGAAGCGTCCAAACAAACGAAAAATTAACTGCCTTTCTAGTTAAATCATGAATTAAGTGGGAGAAAGATGAGGTCAGTTTCACTTGCTGATGAATCTAATCTGCAGAATCAAGAAGTCACTTAAATTCAACCATTACTCACAAATCGAGTAACCAACAGTGGTGAACCTTCTCAAGAGGGACCAGCGGACCAAATGACTAAAGCCACGTCTCCATTGTTAAGTTCAATTATTTGATTCTTCTCAGGTGTAGGTGCGTCTCCTTTGGGAGGGTGTCCCTCACTCTGTGGGAGGGATCGTCTGTCTGCGCTTTGTGAGGGGGAGGAGCTTATGGCATGAGGACAGTGATTTTTGAATGATTAGTGCCTTCACGCACAGCTTCCAAAAGTCTCCAAATAACTCAAACCACACCAGAGAAAGTTGCCAGATATGTTGCTAGTTGCTTTTTAAAAAGAAAAAAAAAATGTCAGTAGAGGAGTCTGAAAACTCACTAAAATCACTAAGTTGGCAACACTAGGAGTTTGCAAGTGCACCCAAGTTCATTCATTGACATCGATGTCAGGGAAATTTAGGTAAAAGTTATGGATATTTATCACTAACGAGTTGATAGTAACTAATTTAAACCATCTAATCACCAGCAAACTGGTTGGCCCACTATGTGTGCTGCTTGTGGGATTGAGTTTGTTGTGGCTCCTTGGACTGATGAAGTCCTTTGAATGAAGGACGAAACGTCTCAACAACAATGAAAAAAAGAAACCGTCCAGATAACCTGTCTGAACTTTGCTAGATTACTAACTAATGTTAAATTAATGTTGAACCATGTGTGTGAGGTCAGAGAAGTCTCATCTGCTCATAGAGGAGCCTGCAGGCGCACCTGATAAACTCCAAGGCTTTCTCCGAAACTGTAAGCTGGAAAGCAGAGGTCGTCTTGACCTCGCCTCTGCCTGATAAGCGTGTATTATAAAACACTTCCTGTCCCACTGTCCGGAGCAGATTTTCCCTGAAGAGGATCTAAGCATGGAACTTTTGTGAAAGCCTGTGTGAACTCCTACCTTGCAAGTAAACTGGGTTGAAAAATCTTCTCCTGTCGTCATGTGTGAGCTCCTTTATTTAAGTAGATAATGAAAAGATATTTATTTATCCAACAACCGATGCATAAGTCAATCAAGGGTTGCAGCTTGCTGATGTCAGATCAGTTCGGCTCGCTTGGAACCACGGCTGAGGCGGGTCCACAAACCGAACAGGAAACGGACACACAATTGGTCAATGCCGAGTCAATGTGAACCGAGTAAAGTCACGTCAGTAGAGAAGTGAAGCGGCTTAAGAGTGCATCAATGACTCATCCAAGAGATCCCCAAAGAACCCAGAACATCTAAAGCTCTGCAGGTCGTACTTGCCACAGTTAATGTTCATGTTTAAGCTTCAACAATGAGAAAAAGATGAAAGGCAAACATGGCCTCCATGGGAGCGTTCCAAGACACGAGTCTCTGGTGAGCAGAACGAACACAAAGAACACTATTTGCCTATAAACATCTCTACGATCCCCAAAGCTTTTAGGAACATATTCTGCACACTGACATAATAAAAGTGGAACTTTTTGAAAGGTTACATGAGGCGTAAAACTAACGCTGCATTTTGTATTTAGTCTGGTTATCTTTGACCAGGGCCAATTTTAGAATCTGACCTTTTAGGGGTGCTCAGCCCTCAGTGTTGATGATGCCTCTTGGCTTCAAGAACGCAGTAGCCATTGGCATCAGAAGCATTTGTAATGGGGGGGGGGGGGGGGGGGCTGGGGGTTCTCCCCCCAGAAAATTTTGAATAAAGTAGATGTCATTTCCTGCATTCTGGTGTTTTTTTAAACAAGTTGTTAAACATCTATGTTTACCTACACAAGTAAACACTTGATTCAAAAACTATTTTAGAGAGCACGGCACAACAAGAAGTAACCTGACCAACAGCTCTCCTTG